CAGCTGATCGACAGCTGGAACACAAACCACCAAATACAAAAACATAATTCAGATCCAGTCGTCATGACTCCACACCGGAGGGATTCCCCGAGCATGTCTTACAGTTTCTCATCAAGGGGGTGTCTCCTGTCCCCGGTACAAACACACTGCCTGAGGAAGGCTATGTGTATTTTTGTTGTCATGAACCTTTTTCGGACCACTTATTTATTTATTTTGGTGACGATCCGACCTCCATGCTGCTACTCTGGTTCAAACTGCATCCACCAAACAATATGATTTATCTCCACCTCCCCAAAATAACCAGAATCTGACACGGTGTGAGATGTCTTTTTTAGCTGTTCTGTCGTCATTTCCTGCGATCTCCTTCATGCAGTCAGTCAGAATGAATGAATGAATGGGCGTTTCTTTGACTATTTATAGGCAACTATGGGCGTTACATGAAGCACGCAAAAGCTGCACCGCATTTCGAGTCGATTGTGATTTATAAAGGGAAACCGGCGTAGGAAGTGCCGTACACACTTTCCTCGCCGGTACGCAATGTTTGGTGAATCGGAAAATGTCGGAACATTTCTGTACCTATTTTTTGGATTTCTACTACGTAAGCAACCTTCCCACGTGAATCCTACGCACAGCGTTATAAATGAGGCCCCTGATCTCCTGCAAAGGAGCACGCTATTTACTTCCTGTATTTTACTAGCGTCTCTTGACATGTGAGCAATTGCATCACTCTGTCCACATCTCTCAACATCTACAGCAGGACTGCTGCACAGGATCCTCTTATCTATAGGGCTCTATTTCCTCTGAATGTTTATACGTTTGCTTTTAAAACCTGGTTGAAATATTAAACTAACTGCTTTCTCAAAGTCAATGCAATCACAAGTGTATCACTTTCTCTGGACCTCTCTCTAAATAATTTACCTCCAACCTGCAGGGTACACCAGGATGCACTTGGCATGGTTAATGCTGATCCTATGGATGATGCAGGCTGCTGACTGCTGTCCTGATGTCTGCAAATGCTCCAGGAAGTCGGGTCCAGAAAAGTCAGAGGTCAACTGTCACAAGAGGGGGCTTCAAGCTTTTCCCTCCCAACTACCCCCTGATGCCTGGATCCTCAAACTAGGTGAATGCCATTTGGTTCAAATCATACCCCAAATATTTTTAATTGTCAAGCACTTAGTAGCCTACCTGAATTCGTCCACGCCCACCCAAGATGGCAGCACGTCTCGTTCTGTGTCCGTATGTCTGTATGACCTGTATGATTGAGTGATTACATCTAAGTTGTCTGGCGGACACTTTCAATTTTTCAACTGCTACATCTCAAATCCTAAATGTAGTAGTGTGACTTAACGGTGGAAATACCCAACCCACTCTCTTCAGTCTGCGTACAAATGACACGACTTTACACATTGGAAATGCGTGCAATAGATACGCAGAAGTCCGATTTTGCGTGCATATGATAGACTAACCATTCCCATTGAGTTCTGAGGCCGAGTTTTGCATGCATATGAAACGCCACGTTTCGTGCCTGCACCACTTATTTTTGTCCGGTCTACTTTCCCCTATTTTGTATGTACTCTTAATATTTGTTTCATCAAATATGTGACCTGCTCTATCGAAATCAGTCGCATTGACCCGAAGACACATTTTGAGTTGTATACACTGTTGGAAAGAGGATATTCCTAGCTTTCTAATGATAATGGATTGTTGTTTTTGTACTCCAAATATTAAGCAAAAGATGTCCCATTATATAATGATCGTCACCGAGTCATCATTTTGAGAAAAAGGCCTTTAAAGTTTCCTCTTCTCTGGAATCCATCGATCTGATTGATTATTAGCGATGCAAATGATCAAAATACTACGGAGGGAAGATATTTTTGTTTGGAGGGAAGCTCGTGAGTGTGTGTGTGCGTGTTTGTGTAATTTTGCGTTTGTGTGTATTGTGTTTGTTTCCTGGGGAAAACACTCACGAGAAACACCGGCTGTTGTTATGCCTGCTGTGACGTTAAGTTACTCCGTTCTCCGCTTGTAATTATGCCGTTACAAGCTTCAAAGTTGTATTTATCATCTGAATTTGCCAAAACAAGTTTAATATTCTGAAAGCCAAGACTTTGTTTGATTGAAATCAGATGAAAACAAACTGTAATGGACCTTGCCGTGTTATCTATGATTACTATACTCTTACATTCATAATTTCAGCCGGAGGGAGGGGGGCGGCGCTGCGGAAGAGCAGATTGCGAGTGAGAGGTGCCTGTCTTCGTCCCTTTACAAGCTTCAAAAATGTATTTATCGTGTGATTTTGGAAATAAAAGTTTCATATTCTGAAAGCCAAGACTTTGTTTGTTTAAAATCAAACAAAACACCCGAACCCCGAAAAAATTGTTTTTTACGTAAATCCACGTTTATTTTGAAATGAGCCGTTGCGACTTCCGACTGATTTCGATAGAGCGGGTCACATATAACATTATTCAACAAAAATAATTCAATAACGTGCTTTAACCACTAGGCGGTGCACACAAGTTACACACATCATACTAATAATAACTTTGTATTATTATTGTAGGACACTTATGTATGTATAACATCTGAAGATGTGTAGTTTTATTCATGTTTTCACATAATTTTACAGGATATTGCTATACTATTTCTCATGTTTTACTTCTACACATTAATATCTGATTTGTAAAACATCACAGGATAAAGGTAAGCTATTGAAATTCTGATTCCATAGATGTCTCCCATCACCCAAAACCCCTGACTATTCTTTCAACTCAGTATTTACATTCTTATATTCAAAGAAAATCAGTAATATCTTCAAAGTCCTTTTCTATAAGCTGTGCACCATTATGGTGTAAATATAACCTATCTACCAATTGAATCAAATATAAAAGTCAGCCGAATTAATGTTGATACCGCAAGGAGACGTATTGTGTGAAGAGAAATTGAAGATGTTGTTTAATTGCTGATATATTTATGATCCACGTCATGTATTCAGTTTCGGTGGCAGTTCTTCCAGTTTGTCCAGAAGTCTTCTAATCAGGGCTCTATAAATAAATAACTACGGCAGATATGTAATATTTAATGCAGCCGAACTGTGTATTACAATGTCGTTATGTGATGACTTTCAAAGAGAAAAGAAAGCACACTCGGAATAAAGTATTATTTTTTAAATGTTTTTTGGATTTCATATCGCATTAACACCATATCCCATCGTGAGGATCTTGGGTAATCAGTTCAGTGGGTGTGTGGTGTGTATCGCAATGATGCTCGAAATGTCCCTTATAGGCCTACGTCTGTTTCCGGTGACTTTATTTTGAAATTCAGTTCCTGAGGAACGGCTAAAAAGCCAGATTATAGAATTAAACGAATAAATAAAAACAAGGAAATTGTGTGTTATTGTTGAGTAAATAACAGTGTGTTATTTTTGAAAAGAATAACAAATTAGAAGGAAAAAAAGATTTAAAAAAATACAGATTTCAGTATTCTGCTTGGTATTGAGTAAGAACATGTTTTTATGAACCACACAGCTTCCGGTCTACCAAGACCCGACCAGACAAAACGTGGCGTATCATATGTGCGCAAAACTCGGCCTCAGAACTCAATGAGAATGGTTAGCATATCATATGCACGCAAAATCGGACTTCTGCATATCTATTGCACGCATTTCCAATGTGTAAAGTTGTGTCATTTGTACGCAGACTGAAGAGAGTGGGCTGAAATACCAGCTACTTGGACTATTGGAGCCTGTTCAACTTGGCAACCGGACTATACATCGTTGATCTTGATGGGTCCAATTATTTTTCTTATCCTAAAGGGAAGTTCCTGGCTTTTTTAAAATTGTGTACTGATCGGTATCTGACTGTGTTACAATCCCTACTGATCCAGTTTTTAAAAAAACTTTTAAACCAGCGATGCATCGGGTTGGGTTGATGCATCGGGTTGATGCATCGAGACTTGTTAGTATCGGTCTTTCAAGTAAGGCTGTCTGTTGGTTCGAGAACTATCTATCATGCAGATCACAGTGTGTGCGGGCAGAAGGCTTAACTTCAACAGCTCTTCAGGTATCCAAGGGTGTGCCACAGGGATCTGTTTTAGGACCATTATTTATAATTTACATTAACAGTCTTAATAACAATGTTTTGAATGCAAATTTGCATTTTCATGCCGATGATACAGTTATTTATTGTTCTGCGTCCACCCCGAAGCAGGCTCTTTGTCAGCTCCAGAATGCTTTTAACATTGTACAATCCAATATGAGTGATTTGAAACTTGTTTTCAATGCTGCCAAGACAAAGCTAATGATGTTCTCGAAAGCAAAACCCAAGGTCTTGAACCTTCCTCCTATCAACATTTGTTTTTTTCTTTAGAAACAAGTCCTGTTTTCCTATGAGGCCAACAAAAGACTAGTGTCTGCAACCTTTCTGTCTGTGCTGGTTTATGGAGATGTGGTTTATATGAATGCATCTTCTCAGTGCCTTCACTCGCTGGATACCATCTACCATGGTGCACTGAGATTCATCACACACCTCAAAACCTTGATGCACCACTGCAATCTATACACTCGTGTTATATATATATATATATATATATATATATACTGTATAAGGATGTGCCAATGTTTCAGTCTACGCATGGTCACGCAAGAGCATCCAACACGAGTATATATATATATATATATATATATATATATATATATATATATATATATATAAGGCTATTCTTGGTGCTCTTCCCCCTTATCTAAGGATGTACATAAACAGAAAATGCAAAGGATCCTATCGGCTTCGCTCCGAGAACTTTTTTCTTTTAACTGTACCAAAGGTCCGTACTGAACTGGGGAAAAGGGCGTTCAGTTACGCTGCCCCTCAAGCTTGGAATCTGCTTCAAACTGAGCTGAAACTCAGAGAGCTGGTCTCATTAAACACACTCAAAGCAACTTTAACTGACCTTAAAGCAGGCCGCTGTGTCTGTAAATGCTTTGGCTAAACTTAGTGTATGACTAAATGGTAAATGGTAAGTACTTATATAGCGCTTTATTCAGTCTCTTTAAGACCCCTCAAAGCGCTTTACATACTACATGTCGTTCACCCATTCACACCCATTCATACAGAGCAGTGTATATTACTCTAGGAAATAACACGCATACACATTCACACACCGTTGGCCATGCCATCGGGAGCAACTCCGGGTTAAGTACCTTGCCCAAGGATACATCGACATGTTGACTGCATGGGCTGGGATCGAACCCACAACCTTCTGGTGGATAGACGACCACACTCCCTCGCAGCCACAGTCGCCCTTGTGTTGTGATTGTGTGTTTTCTTTTAATTGTCTGTAACTGTAAAATTGTCTGTTACTGTGCTGTTACCATTCTTGGGCCAGGACTCTCTTGAAAAAGAGATTTTTAATCTCAATGAGACCTATCCTGGTTAAATAAAGGTAAAATAAAAATTATTATTATTATTATTATGTTGTAATATATGTTTAGTTACTGGTTTGTAGTTTGTTTTATTCTCTATGTTTGTGTTCTGTTTTTATTGGAAAACAGTTGTGTTTGGAGGATGTTATATAAATACATGTATTAACTATCCAACTTTCTCACTGTTGTCTAAAGGTGAGAATGGTATCACTGACCTGAAGGCTAATGCTCTGAAATCAATTCAAAATATTGAGAGTATCAACCTGGAACAAAATACCATCAAGTCCATCCACCCCAAAGCCTTCTCTGGTGCCAATCGACTGATGCTCCTCAATCTCTACGCCAACCACATCACCAACCTCCCACAGAGGGTATTCCAGGTAAAGAGTTGGAGAGGATTTGATACTATGTAAAGCAATCACAAACCTATGATTTGACTAATGTTCCCTTTTTTTAGGACCTCCTGAACCTCCGTTTTCTCATGCTGGGACAGAACCAGATTTCCGTCCTTAAACCTGAGATGTTTGCTGGCATGAGGAACTTGTCAGACTTAGACCTTCCTCTCAACGCGCTGACAACGCTCCCGTCCAATGCCTTCAAGCCTCTGATCGCCCTCAAGGTTCTTGATCTTTCCATGAATCGCATCCAGAAGATATCTCCCAAGGCCTTCAATGGACTCAGAAAGCTCATGTTTCTCAACCTAGACAGTAACAGGTCATTATATATGCATTTATGGATGTCACACGTTGATGATCTTTCACTCCCTTTTCTAACCATATTGTAGCCATGCTAGAATTCTGTATCAAACTATGGTTTTACAGAATCGTCAATTCTTGGGGTAATAATTGACGATTGCGCTAGAATTTAAAAGTACACAACCGGAAAAAATCTGCCCCTTCCTTCAGACTTCCTTACAGAGCCCCTCCTCCAACACACACGACCAATGAGAGCACGAGATAAGTTTGTGCACAGATGGAAGGCTGACAGGCAGGTAGGTCATCCAGTTACTTTAGCCGGGCCGGCTAAAATGATTGGTCGTGCTTTTTACAGCGCCACGGCTTCCACAGATGAATTTTTTTTATGTATTTATTGTCAAAGCATGTAATGTATTCATTACTATCGGGATGTTAAGAGCAATCCATGGAATATAACAAAAAGTGTTTCTGAAATAAATTACATACCCCACCTTTAAGTTTGGGAACGTTTATCTTATAAACAACGAAAATAATCACTTAGCTGAGATTATGGTACGAACGTAGTTACGGTAAGAACAAACTGTGTCAACAGTCGTTAGACAATGGGAAACCAACAGCAGTGTTTTTGTTTAAAGTCTGGGGTTATCTGTCTAACTTGGGATCCTTCCGTATTTCTTTCTTTCTTTATGTCATGATTAATACAAAAACAAGAGGTTGTCCTTTAGGCAATTGCTGATGTTGTGGTTCTTCTTGGGAGGATAGTCTGTTCAGGAATCTCTAAAAGGCAGTGAGAACATGTGGATATCCTTTCAATGCTTGGCCCAGTTTTGAAACCAGGGAACAGAAATGTAACACATTTAGATTAATTGCAAAGTGTATTGATGTTAATTAACAAAATGTAACTCTCCCCAAATCCAGTCTGAAGAACGTTCCTAATGGAGCTTTCAGAACGCTGCCATCCCTTGAGATGCTGGTGTTGGACAATAACCTTCTGTCCACACTGAGCGTGTCAACTCTTGATGGCCTGGGCAATTTGCAGGTAACTCAGTGTTTTGGGTTCATATACGGACAGAAACCAAATAGAAAAACTAAGATAGAATCTGTTTACAGTATATATATATATTCCTTGCTAAATACTGCCTAAATAGAACATTTGGTGACATTTTGAATTCCTATACCACTTGAATATTCTTAATAAGTTCACTGTGATTGCATTGCACACATTTTTCTTCTTGCTCGTTGGTAAACTATGTGCTAAAAAAATCAAATGTGCTTTATATTTAACCAGGAACTCTACCTGAGGAACAATGAGCTGGAACAAATACCCCCTGATTTGTTCAAAAACATGGCCAAGCTCTCTCGGCTGGTTCTCAGTGGGAACCGCCTGAAGACATTGGACGCAAACATGTTCGCCCCTGTTCCTGGTACGACTAACATTCTGCCTTTTATCAGCATTTTACCGGAACTAAGTAGTGATGTATACCAGTAGAGATACAAATTACTTTATCATTTACCTTATTTTGTGTCAGATCTGAAGAAGCTCCATCTCCATGACAACACGTGGCAATGTGACTGTCACATCATCTCCTTGGTGCAGTGGATGGGACAGACCAAGGTCACCCTCTCGCCGCGGGACTCCGTCAGGTGCACGGGTCCTAAGAAGCTCCAGAACAAAAGCCTCTCCAGTCTTCAGGCTGACCAGCTGATCTGTCCTGCCTAATGCCAGAAAAGGTTCAGATGATTAACTTGAACTTTTACACATGTACATTTAATTAGTTTATTGCGACATATATATATTATTCAGCTTAAACATGCATTATCTGTTACATTGGCTAAACCATCATGTATATGTAGAATTTTGACCCATACATGAACATGGTTTAAAGCATTAAAATCACTAAACACATACATTATTAGGTTTTCATTCAACAGGAAGAATGTGCATTAGTGTTGCGTTCTCCACCAGCTAAGTACAAGTGCTGTCTCCTATCTCCAAATCAAACACAGAGATTAATATTATAATCTCATATTGCTTTTCGTATAAACCCTGCGCAGGTTTGGAAAGTGGTGGATTACATGCAATGGGATTATATTAATCCCATTCCAAGAAAAGGTTTCTGTGATCTTTTATGGTGGATGTAAATTAAAAGCCTTTTTTGGATAGAGCAATGATACACTGCCAGGATGTGAAGAGCAAGAACAGTCAAGGATGGCTGGAAATAATGTAAATCTATTGAAATTGTAATCCCTAAATTAGATTAAAGTGAAATAAGGAAGGTGATCCAGGCTGAGGTTGCCATGCAGCCCAGCAGTAATGCCCTGCATGGACGTATCTATCTTGACACCTGAACATGACTTGCAAATGTGGTCATTGAACAGGGCATTATCGCCACCCTCTTTTCTTCTACCACTTTATAACCTGGCTACAAGAATCCACTACAATTTATTCATTAGAGCTTCAACAAGGTCAAATATTAATGTTGGGGTTATCACCCAACATGGCCGAGGTCACAGTAAGCGTTCCAGTTAATTCCAAACGTGTACGATAAGGATTCTGCTCCTACAGAGAGTTCATGTTGAAGCTGTCATAATGCCTTTACTACTTCAGAAATGTATTCTCAATATGGTGAGATGGGTTCATGAAGCCACGACTCTGTTTAGATTTATTGTTTCACAAATATCCATGTTTTATCTTGAAATAAATTGTTGAGATATAAGACAACATCTACTTCTGATAGTACTTGTTTTCTTCCTTACTCTAATATCTAGAAGTACCTGGTATAGCTCGAGACCAACAGTGTCTCATTATCCTGGGGAAGACAGAAAATTGGATGGTACGCAGTCGACTAACCTTTGACTTGTCCATGGATCACAATCGTTTTCCTGGATAATACAAAATTGGCTGGAGAGTTAGGTAAAGTTAGCTGTCAACAGTCGGTATACAGAAGTTCCATAGACGTGAAACATTGTGCATGAATTCATCAAAGGTAAATTATAAAATAATCAACAAATATATATTATGTTCCTATACTCTACTGTGTCTCTAATGTGACCTGTCTCCATATACTTTAATGTTCAAAAAGGTCTTTATTTTCTCATACTCCCTGTGCTGCAGCACCTCTTTTCACCCTCAGTCTTAAACCAGAGCCCAGTCTGCTCTGATTGGTTAGCTGGCCTGTGTTGTGTTTGGTTAACCACTTAGAGATGTGTCAGATATGGCCTGCCCCTAACCCTATCCAATAGAAGGGTGAGTGTTACATAGTCATGTCATTATGTTACAGAAGTAGACAAAGGAGTCCAATGGGATTGAATTTTAGACTTCATAGACAATCTACATGCATAAAAACCTATATAACACACTACAGGAAAGGGACAACCCCAAAAAGCTAAATAGGGCCTCTTTACAGACGTGAAACATTGTGCATTAACGCTCTATTCTGCAAAGGTAAATTATAAAACAATCATGATACTGTATGTTCAATAGTCTTGTAAAAGTGTGTTTTTGGCAAGAAACTTCAATGAATAATTGTGTTAGTGGGGGGAAATTTCCAGAGCAATGTCAAATGTATATTAGAATAATAAAAGAGTGTACGTTAAGTTTCATGGGATCCAATGTTTCTGTTTTGTTTTAATCGTGGTACCGACATTTTAATTAAGGAATTCCAGTTGTATTGGAATCGACCCTAAACGCAACTTTCCTCTTCCTGAAAGAGGCACTCTCTTCAGGTTCTGTTACACATCAATGAACACCCACAGGAGAGAAAGAGACAGAGCAGTGACAGTTAGCTCAGTTTTGGCTGAAAACAGAGAGACATTGGGAGAATAGGAGGGGGAGTGATTTGAAGGAGTGTGTGAATGGGATGAGATGGGAGACGGGGGGGATAGCAGAGCATGATATCCTGCCCTAAGCTTTCTGTAACTGACAAGGTGACTCCTATCGACCTCCCCACACAATAACTTTGACATGAAACACGGCATCATCTTCCACTCCGGCAGGGGAGAAAATTGCCATAATTTCCACCTGCACTAAACCTGCAATTATGGGAGCGCACCCAAGAACAATATAATAGCTGGGCTTTGTTCCGGTTGCAGCTTTTCCTGTCTCCTTTGGTAGATTGTGCACATGTTATAGCAAAGTAAATAGGTATGTGTTGTATCGAATGCTAAACCGCCTAGCATCGTGTATGTTTTTTTTTTGGGAAAGTGAAAGGCTTACATGGACACGAAAGGGCTTGTCATTTAGCAACATTTATCGAGTTTAAAGGTTTAATGATGTAGTTATAACACTTCAAAGACAACATGGTTTTTAGGATTGTATACGAGCTGTATACAATCCTAAAAACCTTGTTGTCTTTGAATCTGAGAGGGTTCCATTTAAACTTGGAACAGCATATTTAAACACTATACTTTTTAGTAATGACACTGCCCAATCATTATGGATATGTGGAAATCAACCCAATCCAATTGAATGTTAACTGCAATAAATACCAATAGACTACTATCTTTCTAACTTTCTATGCACTGTACCATCAGTGTTAGATAGCCAATCAGGTAAAAGGACATTAAGCAAGTTCAAGTTCAAACACTGTTGTGACATCTCAACACCACCACTTCTCCTTATGTTAATATGGTAACGCCTATTTTCCAACACCTACAGATGTGTACCTGCTGTCTTTGGCTGCATCTCAGGTCGGTTAAATGGATTCCTTGCGTCCCTCACTTGCGTCGTTTCCCTGTGACTAGTCCCTCCCACCAGGAAGCATGGAGGGACGCAAGGAAACCACGAGAAGCAGGGGAATTAGTTTTTAGAGCAATGGGACGTCCTTTCCTCCGGAGCGTCACGTGAAGCGACATCCGTTTGTGATGACGCTGCACAGCTGATCGTCTGACAGCAGCTCTGTCCCCGTTGTTTTCCCAAACACCCCCGCCTCTGTTAGTACACATTTACTGACACAAACATTTGTATCATCTGTTGTAGACCCCAATACATTAAATAAAATAAGAACTAATTCTCAAAAAAGATAAACGCCATTCTTAAAATGTATAGACGAACAATAGTTTGATTAATATTGATTAGAGTGCACAATAGAAATAAAATAATTGAGAGAAGAAAAAGAGATATGTTATCTACCAAAACCCAGTTAGATTAATAAATGATTTTTGACCACTTTGTTATTCAGATATATCACATATTTGTAACTAAATGAAACATTAATTGAAACAAAACACGGTATAAACTGAGGAGTGACTCCCGTGAGGTTCATGTATTTTCTTCACTCCGCTGGGAAACTGCTCTCATGTCAAGAAGCATCAGATCAGTGCATGCGCTGCAACGTCCAATCAGTGAGCGATACACAGTAAGGGGGCGGGGCGAGTGTCTGAGGATTTAATCGAAGGATGGTCTGGTGGTTCCTCGGTTATCGCTCCTCCTCGATCCTCGGTCCTCCGGCAGAAATAAGAGCCATGGGACGGTACTCAAGATGGCGCAGGCAAATCAACTTCCGGTGAGACCGAGGACCGAGGAAATGCAAATAACCGACTTGAGATGTAGCCGTAATGTGTTCTCTACCGGCTGTCACATGCTTAACCTCGGTGCTAACACATCAACAACATCCAAAATAACTACTGGCTTCCTTATAGCAAAAATGTTATTAGAGGGATTCATTTTATTATGGAACTAGACAGAAGGAATCTTCTGTGATGCATCACACTATTATTAATGCCACACAGCAGTTATACGGTGTTGTAAACAGCCCACATCACACACACCAGGGACTTTCACCTACGCACACACAGCAGTTCCTCAGTAGCAGCATTACACACGCTGGGTGCTGACAGGGAGGCTGTGCAGAAAACTAATAAGAGGCCAAAACTCAATCAGAGGGAAACTGCAGATGTCCAGGATTCAATTTGTTGACATCATTTGAGGGTATGGGTGCTAACAGGAGCTCTGGTGACACGAAGACAGAGGGCGAGTTCAACATCGCCCGCAGCTGGATTATACTGAGGTCAGAAAGCTGGAAAGTAACCATTTAAGAGTTCCAGTACACTGTGTCTTAAGTGGCAGCATTTATATATCACTTTTAAAGTCTTGTGAGACGTGCCAGATGCATCATATGTTAGCCCTAGGCGACAGTATCAAGCTACTTCACAGTGATGTGTTTGAGTGATTTTCAGCAGTGAGTTCCAGTACTTTCAGGTGAGCAAAATTGGTAAAAAGAATGTATAAACATAATGACTGGGGGGTGGGGTGCTAGTGGAGTGCAGCGGCGAAACTGTGGCGCACAGCGGCGAAACTGTAAGTTCGCCGCAGATGAGGCTTCAGATGAGGCTCCCTCCGCAAGATGAGGCCCCCTCCACAAGATGAGGCCCCCTCCACAAGATGAGGCCCCCTCCGCGAGGTGAGGCCCCCTCCGCGAGGTGAGGCGCTACCCAGTCTGCGTGATCTGCCTGTAGGGAGGGGCGGCCCTGGTGGTAATGTATATGTGAGATTTTTGGTGCATTGTTATTGTAGTTTTACCGATGGGTATGTCATGCATCATCTGTTTACTTACATGGACGAATGCCAGTAGTCTTTTATGGGTTAATTGCAAGCTAACTTTTGGATATTTTATAATTAACAGCTAACCAGGCAACGGAAAAACGAGATTTGACGATGCCGGGCTAATATACTATCGACTCAATTGTGTTGCAGGTTACTATATTTTAGCGTTAGACAACACATTAAACTACTTGATCTAGAATGAACAAATGAAATGCATACAAAACGTTTTGACATAAAGCTGCACATTATGCATAACTCACTCACAGTTTGGATAGATTCAGTCTCTCAGTATCTGTCTGTACAATAAACCAAAGCTGCATATGAAACACCCATTTTCCCCAACATTAAACTTTCAGACAAAATCATTTTCCTCTGCTGCTGTGGTCAGGGACATCAGCTACTTCTATTTATTTCCATTACCTCTTCCCATATGTTGTATCTCTTGGAATTGAGGTTTTGCCATGCCCCTAACATAGAATCTATGACATAGGTCTTTACTTCAATATATCTAATCGAAAAGAAACATAACAATGAAACCAATTTGAAGAAATCCTACTTTTGTCATGCTCTCATTCTCCTCCACCATCTTTCTCTCCCACCTTCTGCCCTCCCGCCTCCTCCCTCCTTGAATCCTTTCCATTCACACCAGTGTGAGGCTCTTATCTGCGCTTCTCAAAAACGCTGACAGACATGTCTCTAAAATGGCTTTTCCCTGTGAAAAATCCCACCGGTCGCTTAGAGTAAGTAAAAGGGCAAAAATCCCCAGCTGGTAGCTTGATGACATATTTTTGATCACACATCTTGCAAAGAAGCAGCTCCCTGGGAAAATTCAAGGGAATACATGACACAACATAGTGAAATTCCATGTAGCCTAAGTGGAGACAAAGATTGTTTATCCATCCATCCTTTGTTTATATACCTATCCATCCTCAGGGGTCATTACTACCTCACAGAAAACTAACTGTAGTCTCTTTTCCAAAGCCACACCACTGGTATCTCATGTTAACTTAAATATTATTTCAAAGCACACCTGTGGAGTTATTTTCTTTATTAACAGTATGACAAGATAGAGATACCGGGCCAAATGGCTCCTAATGAGC